GGAGTCCTGTGTATACATTTACTAGAATGTCTACCCGAGGTTTGGGAGATTATAACTGAGGCCGTAAATATTTGTCAGAGCCCCTCTGAAAAAGACGAAGGAGGATGTTTAAAAAAAAAAAAGATGTATCGACAGTCAAGGGCCCAGTCCTCAACACTCAAAATACTAACGTGAAGAGCGAGGATGTCTGGATATGAAGGGAAGTGAGGATGATAGGAAAAGATCACTGCCATGTGGATCTGGTACTAATGAACAAAGTCATGCGCTATTAGAAGAGTAAATATTATTACAAATCAAAACTAAACGCTAAACCACGAGGGTCATACAGTTCCGAGAAGGGCAAATAAAAAGATCTATTATTATGCAAAGAAGAATCAGAGTGCAATGGTCATAATGGGTAGGGGAGCCGACATTTAAATCATAAAGGGGAGGGGGGTGGGTGACGGGGAGGGAGGACAGGGGGACAATTAATTTGGTCCTAAGAAGTAAACAAAGGTTAAGTTCCTTATATCAAGAGACTTTCCAACACACCAAGGAACCCTCCTTGAAGACTCGTCAATAACTGATACTGTTTCATCGTATGTTGAAACATGTTGATAAATTAGACATGTACAACACGTGGCTGTCTAATTTATCACTATTTCAACGACTCCAAGTTTTTCAACTATCAGAAAAATTCCAACTTTGCACCTACTCGAGCTCAACATTATTGGTTACTACAGAATGCATAAGCAATATTATTTTGAAGTTGAGCAGACGTAGCATTTTTTGGTTGAATAAAAAATGAATATCATTATTTTATTAAATAAAATTGACAAACTGGGACTCGTGCCAGCCATGAGCAGCGCGAGTGTCAGCAGCCCAGCACCAGCGAGTGTCTCACGAAATCGTAATGACACGATTGCAAACAAACCATACCACGGGTGGGGATATTATTATTATAATCAAAAAAGAAGCGCTAAGCCACAAGGGCTATACAGCACGGGTGGGGATAGAACCAGCGATCAGTGTCTCAAAACTCCAGACCGTCGCGTTAGCCACTGGACCAGCTAGCCACAATAAGATTCGTCCAACTAGGTATATTTCTACACCATAGGAAGGTTAGCATAGGCACATTATATTTCCATTGTGTCGGTATTTTATGCCATTTATTTCCATTGGCCACCCAGCACCAGCGAGTGTGTTGGCCACCCAGCAGCAGCGCGAGTGTCAGCCACCCAGAACCCAATAAAGTCAGTGCGTCATCGGTCATTGTCCCTCAGGATGCAACCCACAATAGTCGAGTAACGCACATGTACCTACTTACTGCTAGGTAAACAGGGGCAGTGGCTTCACCCGTACCGGGGATCAATCCAGGACACCCAGTTTGTAAGCTGAGGACACACAAACCAAGCCACGAGCACGATGGGAATAGCTTCAACAACTTTGATCATAGAGCACTTAAACATGCTAATTGTTAAAAGAATTTGGTCCAAGTTACTGTACACAAATGAAAGTTTGAAGGCGACTGGATGAGGCGTTATCGAGTTATGAGCGAAATAAAGACGGAAAGATGGAGGAGGAAGAAAAAGCAGCTTAATTTTAATCTAGCAGTAACATCTGACAATCTACTCACCTTGTTGCTATCTATACTCTTCTACTTTCGAGCTAGTTTGCTAGTTCATTGCTGACAATGTTCCGTAACTTCTGTTTGAAAAAACAAAATTATATAACATTCTTCATATTTAATGCTCGTTTAGCTAATTCGTCAACTGTGGTATACACCTGGAGGCTAAGGACACCATTGGTAATTGGTGTCCTAGGTAATTTACACTTTGTATGATAATTATACTTGTGCATCTGGGCCTAACTAAACTTAACTGAAATCCTTTCCAGAGACACCTCCGTGCTAACATTACAAGATATAGCAAGACGCTTCCACGTTAATGATATCGGAAATATTGAGGTTGTATCCAGATTTTTCATCAATTAGATGAATGAACTGTTTTTACAAAGGAAACTGTAACCAAGTTACGACCAATGTTTTCATTTACAGTGGTAACGAGATGTCCATAGTTTAAGATTGTACTCCATACTTTATTGTGAATATTAACAATGTGAAGTAAATAAAATATGGAACTACTTTACATCAATGTAACAATACTTAGTGGAGTCTGACAGAGATCTGTTGTGACCTTCGTAATCCTGTATTTTGCGCTGCTGGTGCACAATAAACTAGCCCCTCAGGCGACACAACTAACTAGAAAACAAATTTAAGGTACCTTGTTCAGGTCCCTCTTTGTGGGTGTCTAATTATAGATTAGCTATTTAATAATACCTTAACGAGCATTTAATCATTATGTAATGTCATAGATTTTATGGACACTAAAAGCTATATTACTTACTGACTTTTAAGGGAAATTATATGATGTTACCCCGAGGATGAGTGCTCATACTGCACAAAACCTAAGTAGTCACCTAATTTTGTACCAGCTAGAACACCTTACCTGAGGGACGCCGGTGAATAAATTACCTTATCTAGGTAACAGGTGGGAGCGATACAAAACCTAAGTAGTCACCTAATTTTGTACCAGCTAGAACACCTTACCTGAGGGACGCCGGTGAATAAATTACCTTATCTAGGTAACAGGTGGGAGCGATACAAAACCTAAGTAGTCACCTAATTTTGTACCAGCTAGAACACCTTACCTGAGGGACGCCGGTGAATAAATTACCTTATCTAGGTAACAGGTGGGAGCGATACAAAACCTAAGTAGTCACCTAATTTTGTACCAGCTAGAACACCTTACCTGAGGGACGCCGGTGAATAAATTACCTTATCTAGGTAACAGGTGGGAGCGAGGCGCCTTGCCCCGTCAACACTACGTCTTGTTCTTCAAGATATGATGATCAACAGAGTAAGAAACATATCTCGCTAATAAAATAAATGTTTCGACACTGAAGAGCACAATCAATGTACTCCAGTCAATATTGGAGCAGATATTTTCCCACCTCAAGCACAAGTGTCACACTGATAGTTCTCGCAGTTAAGACTGTCCGTCCCTGCGCGCATGCGCTTCTATATAAGACAGACTTGTAAACATTAAGTCGGGCTCTTTAATTCGGGGTGATTAATACCAGCAATAAAGAAAACGTTACTCTAATGCTAGTTTAGTCTGATAATATTTCCTAGTGGAATTTGTTAGACTAAGACAGCTAAATGTTATTTGAATATATCCTAAAAGCTAACATATAGCAGATGTTTTCCTTAATAGTTATAAATAGTTTTAAATTGTGTGGAATGTAACAACGCTCAGTGGAGTCTGACGAATATCCATTGTGACCTGTAATCCTGTATTTTGCGGAGCAGGGGAGACTGCTCTACATCACAGAATTTCTCACATGTGCAAACACTTAATGGAAACATTACCTCAGGAAACTGTTTCCCAGTACAATGTTAAAAGTGTTTACACGCGTCTCTCTCTTCCAGTTTTCAATGACTTATCATTTCTTCTAAATATTCTTATATATCCAATTATATGTTCTATTTCTCCTACCTTAGTTACTTTTCCTTGGACGAGTCCCATTTTTCGTCACTTTTCCTTATTTCCATTGATTAGATGGTGGCAGCATTTTTTCCTCTTCGTAATTTTATTCGCTGCATCGCGTCTACAATATTACCGATTTATTGTCTCATTCACACTCTTCCTCCTTGACCCTTGGCTGACGAGAGTATGACTCGCGAAATCGTAATGACACGATTGCATACAAGCCATAGCACGGGTGGGGTTTGAACCCGCGGTCAGAGTCACAAAACTCTTACAGCGGGTTCAAACCCCACCCGTGGTATGGTTTGACGAGAGTATACTGTGAGACAGCAGTGTACCTACCTACCCATCTTCTCTCATACTGCTGTTTTTTGGTATGACTCACGAAATCGTAATAATACGATTGCCAACAAACCGTACCACGGGTGGTTTTAGAATCCGGGGTCAGAGAGTCACAAAACTCCAGACCGACGCGTTAGTCACTGGGCCAACTGGCCACAATAAGATTCATCCAACTAGGTATATTTATACACAATAGGAATGGTTAGACAGGCACAGCCCGCCCGTGGTATGGTTCTTGGTATGTTACACTCAGTCATTTTCACCCTGGCCCTCTTACTGCTGTCTTTTCTTTCTTTTGTATCAGAAAATATCACTCTCCATGAATATATATTCTACACCTCGCCTATATAGCCTGCACTTGGCCAATAAAGCCTTCTGTCCTTTTTAGCTTGCACCTTGTCTATATAGCCTGTACCTCCCCTATATATCCTGTTCCTCGTCTACATAGCCTGCGTCGTGTCTATAAAGTCTGTGCTAAACTTAAATATCCTGCATCTCATTTTTCGTTCTCCGTCAGTTAAGTCCATTTTACATTGGAATATTATAAGATAGAAGAGCTCTGGTAAATCTTCAGGTGCTGGGCTCCCAGTTTTCTGCTGTATTCACTTGCCTACACCAAACTAACGTTGCCATGTTTTTGATCTTCAGGGCTCTAGATATTCTGTTTTTTTTTTTTTCACATATATCCTGATGACTCATATAACGAAAAATTCACTTCCTGCTCATCACGATTTTTTTTAGCAAGTTTTATGTACGACCTCCTCAACACCATGCTCCAAGTCTAAGATGGGGCCGTCAGCGAGGAGGGAAGATTAAGTAAGGGCGGTAGAGCGGCGACGACGTCGGAGGTAAATTGTGCGTACTCGCTGGTAGACTGGACAGTCTAATATAATATGTCAAACTGAAAAAGTTACTTGATAATTCTCAGAGTGGTCAAATTCGTGATAGAATCATCAGTCTTACTCTGTAGCTTAAATTCTCTTATATTTTTTAAGCGTGAATTACTGTGCCTTTAATTATTTTATACTGCCTGCACAAGGTCTTCATAAGATGTAAAATATTCATAGGATCTTCATATTGTCTTAAGATCCTTCAGGACACGTCAAGCACAAAGGATTGAGGATAAAATAAAATTAGTTAAGAGGATTGTCTTTTATTTAAATTAGCGTAATACAGTTTTGTCATATTTGGTTTCTTGAAATTTAAGTAGGAGATTCCTCATGTGGACCTTCGACAGTTGCCCGTGTGGATGTGCACCCCCACCAGCTGCATTTTTTTTTATACAAAATAGACATTTAAATATTTGCGAGGGTCTAACATGAACTGCAAGAATGACGTTATTAATACGAAGTTTATAAGGAGAGAAAATTCTTTTCCCATCCACAGAAACTTCAAATAGATCCATACCGGTCACTGCCACTTTTAACTAAGCGTAACCAAAGAAGAACAATATTGCCAGATGAGACAACTGGGAGGGTCAAGAACAGTGTTCATTGTCACACAGCAACAACCAGGAATAATGTTCTAAGCTGCATCATAAACAACAACAATTTGCTATTTTCAATAATTGCCAAGACCTGGTCATTAACCAGCCAAGACCTGGTCATTAACCAGCCAAGACCTGGTCATTAACCAGCCAAGACCTGGTCATTAACCAAGACTGCAAATTTCGTTTCGTCACTAAATTTATAAATTATCTATATAATTTACAAGACTATAGTGCTATAATAACGATGTACAGATTTTTAGAATACAATTCCAGCCAAGAAAACCCATAGTTAGGGAGGGGAAAGAGAGAAGAGTTGGAGTACACGAAAGAGGTTTAACACATTGTTGTGATGTGTGCACCTGCACACAGTGTTCCCAGCCTCGAACATCTTCACTAATGTACAGGGCTACAACTATCACCGAACAAGGGCACAGCTAACATACTATCACTGAACAAGGGCACAGCTATCATACTATCACTAAACAGGGGTAAAGCTATGACACAATCACAAAATACAATCAGCAGCTATAACGGATAAGTGTAAAAAAAAAAAATTGAGAAGTACACTAGCGGAAGAAAACAGACAGAGGTTTCACTACTTGATTATTTTACGACGCCTCCCTGGTAGATTTACTGAAGAAATGCTTTTATGTGGATACGTAAGGACTAACATTTTCCATAATTTACATTGGTTAGTATTGCTTTGCTGTATAATGTCTGTTGAGGAACTACGTGAAGAGGTTAAACGACTACTGGTAATGAGAAAAGTTCTGCACTAAAGTGGCTGTCTTGGCTGGGAAGGTCACTGATATGGTGGGTCTAGATGTGGCAGGGGTGGCGGCTCTGTGTACATCTCCAGACAGAGTTAAGTAGTGAGCGTAACAGGAGTCTCCTGCAACAAGAGTACAATATTATTAGGGCATGTTATTAGATGAAACAAATAAATATGAATTATCACTTATTATTCTCATATATATATATATATATATATATATATATATATATATATATATATATATATATATATATATATATATATATATATTATATATATATATAGATAGATAGGTACCCCCCTCTAGAACTATACTGGGGACCCTCATCCTCAGAGAAGACAATAGACGTACCTCAGGGAAAACTCAAGGTTCTCCCCAAAGCTATTTGAGTATTTTCTTCTCCTACCACCTTCTATATTTCATATTACATGTTAACTTTATTAATAGGCAGAATACATTGAGGGAAAACACAAACATGCATACATTGGTACAATATATCAAAGGTTATGAATCTCCTCCAGCTCCTCCGAAGCCGGACGCGAGCCCAGTATGCAGCATGCATTTTCCCTCTGGATGGCCACGCTGAGGCGCTGGAACATGAAAGTGGCTGCCCTTGGGTCCCAGGCGGTGTCGATGAGTCTGGAACCCAGTTCTTTAAGGAAACGTGTGGCATTTTTTCCCCATGATCCCAAGGTCTCTAATCCCACTGGGACAAATTGATACTGTTGGCTTATGTCCCTGTACTTGCCGATTTTGTACTCCTCCCTGTGATCAGCAGCTCCTCACTGTCACCCGACACTGTGATGGATGTAGATGTCAGCCAGCGTCGACACACAGGTATAGTCCCATGCTAAGAGCTTGCCATCCTTCCAAGGACAGATGGTGATCCCATTGGGGCGGTTTGCTGGGTTGTGGGTATTGTTGGCTGCTAGTGATCGGGGCTCTCTCTCGGCTGGGCATCCAGCTTTAGCAGGAGTTCTCTTTTTGATGTTGACCTCATTGTGTCTTGCATGCCAGCCCTTGGTTTTGGAACAGTTAAGACTATGTAGACCATATTGGTCTGCTTGTGCATCGACGCAAATACACGCATATTCCGTGCGAATTGAGGCAAGGTGCAGAGCCACTTCAATACGGAGGGTCTTAGGGTCGAGGCGTGTTCCCACTGCTGAAATGGGAACTGTTTGGAGGAAGTCCCCAGAGTGATGTGCACTCACAGCTTGGAGATAGACAGTCTCCCTGTCTGATGTTACAGCCCTGAGCATGTTGGCAAGCACCTTTTCAGCGATGGGGCCTTCCCAACTTGACTGTTTGTAGGCCAGTGCTGCACTAGGTTATGGTGCTGGAGCAGCATGAATCTCCCATTCAGTGATGGCACTGGCATAGCTAGGGGTCCTGTATTACTGCTGAGTCACTGAGGTTGTCCGGAAGAATTCGTCTTATTAGCTCATTTGATGCTATGGAAGAGGATAGGAAAGCTGGTAAGGGAATCTGGGAGGATTTGCGTACTCCCAGCCCCCCAAGCCTGACCGGAAGTAAGGCTTGCAACCACTGTCCATCTTCGAGGGGAAGATTCAATACACTCTCTAGCATGGTTTAAAGAGAGAGTTATATTCCTTGAGTTTTGGAATGCTGAAGGCTGGGGAGCATCTCGTGCAGAAAAAAAACTGAAAAAAATAGTGAAATTCCAAGCGCATTCATGATTTCTCACATTATCATGGAACTTACATATATATATATATATATATATATATATATATATATATATATATATATATATATATATATATATATATATATATATATATATATGTCGTGCCGAATAGGCAGATCTTGCGATCTTGGCTTAAATAGCAACGCTCATCTTGCCATATAGGACAAGTGAAAATTTTTGTATGCAATAATTTCACCAAAATCATTCTGAACCTAACGAAAAAAATATATTTGATTGTGTTTGTTTAGTACTAAATTATTGTAAACGTATTTAAAATATATTTAGTTGGGTTAGGCTAAAATAAATTGTTCTTGTTATAATAAGGTTAGGTAAGTTTTCTAAGATTCTTTTGGAGCAAAATTAAAAATTTTTTACATTAACATTAATGAAAAAAATATATCTTTAAACGTATAAGAGAAAATTTTAGAAAGGACTTAATTTTAAATGAGTTCTTGCTAATTGACCAGTTTTACATATTCGGCACGACATATATATATATATATATATATATATATATATATATATATATATATATATATATATATATATATATATATAATATATATATATATATATATATATAAGGAGGTTTTGTGTGCGAGGGGCTTGGACTTCCAGCAGGCATGCGTGAGCATGTTTGATAAGAGTGAATGGAGACAAATGGTTTTTAATACTCGACGTGCTGTTGGAGTGTGAGCAAAGTAACATTTATGAAGGGGTTCAGGGAAACCGGCAGGCCGGACTTGAGTCCTGGAGATGGGAAGTACAGTGCCTGCACTCTGAAGGAGGGGTGTTAATGTTGCAGTTTAAAAACTGTAGTGTAAAGCACCCTTCTGGCAAGACAGTGATGGCGTGAATGATGGTGAAAGTTTTTCTTTTTCGGGCCACCCTGCCTTGGTGGGAATCGGCCAGTGTGATAATAAAATAAAAATAATATATATATATATATATATATATATATATAATCATTTACCAAACTGCGGCAGGCCAGGACTCGATGCACGCATCATCTTACCTCTACGCCACTGATCAGTGGCGTAGTGGTAAGGTGATGCGTGCATTGTTCTGTCTCTGCAGGCGGTACAAGGTTCGTAGGTTCGAGTCCTGGCCTGCCGCAAACAGTCGGAAGAAAAGACAAGAGCTAATGTAGGCGGAGAGATAAGGAACGGAGTAAACAGGGGCGACGAACAAATAAAGAACGTCTACTAACATCAGTGATTATCCTACATATGGAAGGATTGTAGAGGACATGAGATCAAACATAATAGCGAAGGCAGTGAGCATCACGGCGATCAGATAAGGATGGAAAATTCGCTTCTGCATAGAGGCTCTCAACAAGGGATGAATGAAAGGCACCAAGGCACTGAGGTGATGAATAGGATCTAAGTTAGACAGAGTTGCGGGAGAGATCGCAATGCAAACGGAGGAGAGTGCGACGATCTGCTCCCCATGAACGATGTGTGAGAACCTTAAGGAGATTTTGCCGACCATGGCAAGTTGTCTTTAACGAAGAAATGTGATGTCTCCACGTCAGCCGGCGATCAAAGAGCAGGCCCAGAAACCTGACCATATCACATGCCGGAATACGTGAACCGTATAAGTACAAGGGAGTATCCGGTATAAGCGGACGTCTAGTGAAGGTAATGAATCGGGTTTTCGTACTGGAAAATTTAAAGCCATGAGAAGTGGTCCAATGGGAGACTTGGTCTATCACAACCTGAAGGGAGGCTGCTACTAGACGACAGTAAGTGCCCAAGTAAGCTATAGCAAAGTCATCAACATAAAGTGATGACCAAATATGCGAAGGAAGAATGAAACGTAGGTCATTTATAGCTAAGAGAAAAAGAGTAGTGCTGAGGACACAATCTTGTGGGACTCCTTCGGCTTGTACAAAGTCCGAGGAAAGGGAGGCGCCAAAATGGACCCGAAAATGACTATCGGACAAGAAAGCAGCGATGAAGTTTGGTAGATTACTACGGAGGCCTAAAGAGTGGGCTTTGGATAGAATGTTATACCTCCAAGTGGCGTCAAATGCCTTCTCTAGATCGACAAAAAAACAATAGGACAGAGTGGTTGTTACCAAAGGCATTTCGAATATACGTATCGAAGTGGAGCAAGGGGTCTAAAGTATAGTGGGCTTGGCGAAAGCCATACTGGGGAAGGGAAAGGCTATTGTGTCTCTAAAAACCACATCAGACGTCCATTCACCAATTGTTCCATCACCTTGCAGACCAAACTGGTCAGGGCAATGAGACGATAGTGAGACGTGTCAAGCACGAGGCGCCTGGTTTGTGAAACGGTAGTACAATAGCTGATTTCCAGCGTTGTGGGAGAACCCCTCGCTTCCAAATTAGACTGAAAAGATGTAAAAGAACAGGAAGGGCCATAGAATGGAGATGGTGAAGCTTACTGATGTGCATATCATCAGGTCCCGGTGCCGACGGCCGGCAAATGGAAAGCACTGACTCTAATTCTAGAAGAGTAAAAGGTACGTTATATGGCTCCAATCCATCGGAGGAGAAATTTAAGGGCAATTGCTCTTTGGCAGGTTTAGACGCAAGAAATGCGGGACAGAGGTGAAGCCCCTGGGAGATACGGACAAGATAGTTCCCGATTTCTGTGGCAACCCACAAAATGGGAGCTGGGTCCGGAGTGTACTTACCACACAATTTCTGCATGTTTTTCTAAATAGCACACATAGGGGAAGACGAGGTAATGGTAGACATGTAGTCTCGCCAACAAGCACATTTAGAGTCACGTAAGATGGGGCGAGCAACTGCCCTTGTCCACTTAAAATCCAACAGATGCTTCGCGGTACAGGTATATCAATAACGGCCCCCCACAGCACATTTTAAACGCACCGTGTGGGGCATGTAGGAGACTACCAAGGTACACATGTCTGAGAATGCCTGAGGTTTGGGGGATAGAACGAGTCACCGCAGTTAGAACTAAGATCGAAAACTGGTGCACCAGTTCATCAATAGACAACGAAAGGGGGTCTATGCAACAGGTGGTAAGATGGGAGTATAAGTCCCAATCTGCTCGAGCCAGTTGCCAATGAGGGTTATGAAATGGTCGGGTATGTGTAATAGAAGTAAAAAGGATAGGAAAGTGATCACTATCATGTAAATCTGGAAGAACAAACCATGTGAAATCAAGTGCAATGGGCGAGGAACAGATAGAAAGATCAATGCAGGAGACTGATGGGTAGGAGCACCTGTATTAAAACATGAGGACAAGAAGCGAGAAGAGTCTCCAACTGATCACCATGAGAGTTGCGGTGGGACCTTCCCCACAGGTAATGGTGAGCGTTAAAATCACCCATCAGCAAGATGGGCGGTGGTAAAGAAATTGAAAACACAATATTATTGATACAGAATGCAGGGAAGGGAGAAAGATAAAGAG